TACCTAATACAAATTTTGTGATACTTAGTAACTAATAATATCAAGTTTAAAAGGTACATTTTTAACCAAGAAAGTATTATTTCTACACCAATTGAAATGATTTCAAACCTTCTATTATCAAATTATGGAGTATTAACTCTGCTGTAAAGTAAATTTCAAGTGTAGGTATACTTGAAATTTACTACATCATCGAGTATGTCATTTTCTGTTTCTCATTTATCACCTGTTGCAACTTACATTTRAATTCATTGTAAATAAATAATCAATTTTGTGGTGAAGGAATTGACTGATAGTATATGTATCATAATTATTAAAGTTTTTATTTTATTTTTCTTAATTCGATAAATTGAACTAATAGTTTTTTCCAAAAATATCGCATATTTCATTTAACTTAAGTCAATATCGGCGTAACGTGGAAAGGCGTGAATAATTCCGAGGTAAAGTGCTTGAAATTATTTCCTTCTAGATATTTAAAAATCTAATTTTTGTACAGAAAATGATGATAAAACCAATAATGGAATTTTCAACTTTCAAGTGGCTGATAATTTTTTTCATAATTGTTTAACTGCTGTAAAAACCAACACAGGAGGTTCTTGTTATTAAACTGTTATACTTTTGGCTGAAAACAAAATTTTGTTTTGACTTAAATGGACAAAAAGTGCTATTTATGACCCTAAACTATATTTTATTAAATATTTATTTATAAATAAATACTTTTAATATAAAATTTCCATAACACCATGTACAATTAAATTTCACAATGGTGCTACTATAATAATATATTAGGTAACTATTATTGATTATTATATTTAACATGATAAAAGCTTTTAGTAAAATATCTACATAATACAGATTTTTATTTCTATTTTGCATTGTTTGTGCTAGTGGGAGTAGCAAGAAAATATAAAGGAAACTGTTAAATAGAATTAACCACCAAGTTTCCGGCAACGAGAACGAAAATTGTTTCTTCGTAAACTCCGTGCCGGAATAAACATCACGTTTGAGCTAATGAACGCTCTTTATGATAGCACTATAACAGTATATTATTACAGGTTCATTGGTGCAGTTTTTAATAAGAAAACGTTCGATGTGATCCCAGAGGTATCAATTTTTACCAGAATATTTATAAAAACTAATAAATTTTCAATAATTATACAAGGAGAAGAAAAATTTTTAAGCATATAAATAAATGTATATAGAATAATGTTTTAAGGAAGGTCAGCTTAAGATTATAGACAATCAAGTTTAAAATAATGTCAATTTAGTTTTTTAGATGTTGTTATGTCTGATAAATATTGTATAAAATAGGTTTTAAAACAATCGGACGCATTTGGGCTAATATTAGAGCTAATAATTGGCTACGATAAATGATTTTAGGCGCARATGTATTGCACCGGTTGTAATAATATTATAGCATATGATTACTAATTAGGCACTATTCAGTTGTAGAGGAAATGTGAATTATATGATTTGATGTATAATTCAACTCGGCCACTCGGGTACTTGTTTGTGGTATGAAAATAAACCAACCAATTCATAGTACTGTGTTTTTTTTTTTTTTTAATTGTCCTAACTGTCTTTAAAACTTTGTAAGAACTGTGAAATGCTTTAAATATCTGTACATTTTTATAATATGTAGAAAATCAATACCATAACCATATGAACTAAAATATCTTCAAAACCCAAGTTTTCTAATCCAGTATATCAAGTAATTTTCCAGATGCTGTTAATAATGTTTATTTTAATATATTTAATAAGTAAATATAAAAAAACCCTTTTTATGAAGGGTACTAATGATATTTATTATTTAATATTTTCATAAGAAAATAAACTAAAGTAATATTTGTTTTTCTTTGAATAAACTGATCTTGTGAAAAATATTTTTTTATGTATACATTATTGGTACAACATAATATCATTTAAATTTTAGTTAGTAAACAATAATGAATAATATTTTAGGTACTCGTACTATTATAATTTTAACATTGAAAAACAAATTAAAATAATTATATTATATTTGTCATAGTTACGGGTTATAAAATAAATTCATTTAGAATAGAGAAATGGTAAGAGTAAACAATGCAAATAATAGAGGATAAAATACATACATATTATTGCGTCCTAACTGACGCCGATTCGTATATCAGCGTATAGAAATGAACACTTGATGTATTTAGTTATAATGTTGTTTATTTCACTTAATACAAAAATACGATTATGGTGAGGTGAGTGGTGTTACGACCTGCCTCCAAATATCTTGTTCAGCCCTAACTGTCTAGCTCACATTTACAACCGTCTGACGAGCTCTTGTCCCTGTCTCTCTTATATATGATTCRGTCCTTAGGAGTGGCGGTTACATTGGTGGTGACTTTCCTGTTAGTTGTTACATGTCGAAATTCGGTCTTGTGRTACAACTTAATACGCTGAACGTTTTGCATCCTTTCATATGGGTCAACAGTCATTTCTGAGAAGAGACGTGTGAAAACACTTTTATAATTTAATCAATTTTAATATTTTATATCTTATTCATCACGTTCATATTGTTGACCTCCGCATGCTTTTGATATTAATGGCTTATTAGTTTTAATCATATAGCTACACTTATTTTATAGTGACAATAATTGTGTGCTATATCGTACATATTTTATAGGTACGTAACAATATTATAATTGTGCGTTATAGGACCTAAATAGTGTAAGTAGATCCAAAGCTGTATTTAAAAATATGTTAAAGTTTAGATAAAGTTTTTAATTAATCCTAAAAACATGATTTTTTAAATTATCACTAATCAATAAGTACTTGCCTACTTTTTAAATTATGATTAATAATGATTATGGATTTTAATTTTTTATTATTATTATTAATATGATAATTTGTAGTAATTTAAAAAACTATTTTTTATTTTAAAAATAGTTCATTCTTTTTTAAATTGATCTAAGTATTAACTCGTGTTTACTTCCTATCATGTAAGTATTTTGTTTTAATGTGATTACAAAATTTGAGTAGGCAAATACTAGAGAAGTAGTGTACATACTACATACTACTAAGACTTATAGTTTAATTATTTATATGATTCATCACATAAATATAAATTTATTCATTCAAAACTGATTGAATTTACGTATTAAAAATTGTGGTTTTAAACACAATTTTTATTGATGAATCTTAGTTGTTTTAGATACAGATACCTAATTTTTCATAATAAGTAATAATAACAAAAGTGTATTATACAGTACGTGTAAAGCACCCGACCGATACACACGCGTATTCTTGGTTTTCGTTGACTATTGCATTTTATAGCTTTTGATAGTAGTTTCAAACACCGCAATTAAGAAGGCATGTTATTTTATTTTGTCCCCCCACAACCATAGTAGGTACCTAATTAGGAAACCTCTCCTACCAATATGTACATCAATATGGACACTCTTGACTCAAATAATCTTAACTCAACTTCCTCACAACCACAATCAAATACTCTCAAATCATTCGCAAAAACAACCGCAAACTCACTATTCCCAAAGAAAGATCAAGCCATAGTATTTAACACAATTGATGATCAAATTGAGTACATAAAAACATTCAGTCAAATAACTACTCCAAACAATATAAAATTCGCGTGTATATCCAATAACAGGTTTTGCATATATTTCGCTAGCAAGAACATTGTTCAGCAGATAATCACCAAATTTTAAACAACCATAATTGTCGTAAATAATCATATCCAACGTCCAACTCTTTATACCACACGATATAATCACAAAAGCAATTACTAATATCCCGATTCGAATTCTTTCTTCTATTACATTCATGAAAGCTGGTTTTGGTAATGAGAAGTATGATCATATAGGCAGTTTTCGACAACAATTATATATACACCTGGACGACAACGAAAAAATGCCGAGTTCAATTCTAATAATTTCGATCAAACATATTATCGGATAGTTTTATCCGATGACACCGTAATGTGTTATCTTTGTAAACAATCAGGTCATACATCAAATCATTGCAAAAACGTTATTGATAATAAAACAACTTCCAGTCACATCAACAATAACCCACCTTCGGCCACCAAAAAATACGATACAGAAAACCACACACAGATAATACCACATACACTAAATATACCGGATGTCTCCACCAATTCAACTCAAATATTATTACTGAAACGATTCCTCACTCAATAAAAACAAAAGTCAAAGATGGAACCTTAAAAACCCAAACTGGACACTTTTCAGTGAAATGGTTGACGAAGAAGTTTCCAAACTATCCACCACTAACACTAAACATTAATAAAATGGTCAGAACATTCACAACGATATTAACCCTAACAGCAAAAAAAAACTATCGGAAGCCACACAAATCAAAGCTTCAAACCAAAAGTTCCTTGGTGAAATGATGCGATTAAAGAGGCCATAAAAAAAATATATGCACTGAACACATTAAAAAAAAAGAAAAGAAATCTCAAGACAACTTTATTCGACTTAAAAAACTAAGATCCAAATCTAAGTTCTTAATCAAGAATAGTAAAAAGGAATCATGTGAAACATTTACAAGTACCATAAACAACAATACACACCCATCGCTTATCTGAAATAAAATGAGATCACTTAAAGGTTTAAATCGAGACGAGGAAATTCAGCCATTCAGTCGGCTGTTCAAAAACAAGCAACCTATTTGCAGATGATTTAAGCATCCTAATAAGAAGCCAAAACACAAAGACGTTAAAATACTTCCTACAAGAAACCATTGGCAGTCTCACAAAGTGGTCAAACAACACTGGTTTCAACTTTTCCAGTGAGAAATTTCAATATATTTTGTTCTCAAAAAAAAAATAAACCAAGAAATACCACAGTTAAAAATAGATAACCAACAGATTTCAAATAAAAATCCTCGGTACGACATTCGACTCAAAGCTTAGTTGATTACCCCATTTAAAATCCACAAAAACGTCAATATTACAAAAACTTAATATTTTAAAAATCATCTCACATAAATCTTAGGGTGGTGACACATGCTCTTTATTAAAGATTTACAGAGCTTTAATCAGATCTAAATCAGAATATGGATCAACTATATTTAGGACTGCTAACCAAAAATATTTAAAAATGTTTGATACTCCTCTTAACACTGGTATATGTCTCGCATTAGGGGGCTTCAAATTCAGCCCCATTGAGTCATTGAGAGCTTGAGAATCTTAGCGAATGGACTACCACCAGACTTAAGAAGAACCTACAACACTTTTCTCTACACAGCCAGAACACTAATAAACATTGAAACCCCTTCAAATTATTATCTAACAAAAAATATAAAAGAAGCCGAAGATAACAAATAGACTTATAATGCTTAGTAAAAATAAAATCCCCAAATTTCTCCTCTTGTAAAATGTACCTCGATATAAACCTAGAAATATCTGAATTCAATAAAGAAAAAAATTTTAAAAACACTTTACAAAAATACCCCAACTATAAACATATTTACACCGATGCATCAAAAACAGACCTATATCTATAGTAACCGAAGATTCCACCACTACCTACAAACTTCTTCGCTAATGCTCTATATTTACAGCCGAAGCAATAGATATTATATACAAAGCAATAGTACAAAATAAGATCATAAACAAAGATTCGTTGCAGAATAAATATATAATACTAAGTGACTCTCTTAGCAGCCTAACTGGCATAAATAACCTGATAAATTCAACAGACCTATCCATACTCATTCAAGAAAAAACCTACGAAACACGTCAAAAAGGAATAAAGATTTATTTTCTTTGGTTACCCGGACACTGTTGAATAGACAGAAATGAATTAGCAGATCAAGAAGCACACAAAGCAGCCTCATCTAACAACACCCAAACGCTTAATTTACGTACGTTTACAGATTTTAAAAATCTTACCCAAAACATCCTATACCAAATAATACTAACAAAATAAAACACAAAATAAAATAAAAAACAATATCCAAGTATGGAAAAACACCGGCCTAAACAGGAAAGATGAAACTTTTTTAAATCACCTTCGAATTGGACACACATTTGTGGTGTGGAGGTCACAGCCAAACACTAATCATCGATTGCTACAAATACTCAGACTCAAGATCAAAACATCATTTACCCTAAAAATTAAGTGAAGCTCTACAACCAGATTTCCAATCAATCGTTAAAATAATCAACTTCACAAAGGAAAGGAAATAAAATTATATAACTTAATTTAAGCCAATGTAATCTACAACTAATAACTCAGTAGCCGATGTTTATACGCTCAATAATAAAAATAAAAAAGTGTATATTAAAAATTAATAGTAAATCAGTAAATGTGTGCTAAGATTTTAATATCTAAATATTTTAAGCAAATTATTAAATACAATATATATTTATAATTAAAAATTAATCTTTGAAATTAAATATTAATTACTCAATTCTTATTACATGAGTACTATGTGGTATAGTATTAAATAATTAATAAATTACCTATACCAATGACTCTGTCGTGACTATTTTTAATTATTGCAATGATTTCCTTAAATTTACACTGACTCGAATACATAACTTGTAATGTTATTTTTTGTGTATGATGATTAAAATAACATTATAAACATTCAAAGGTATTAAAAAATAAATATATTATGCAATATTTAATAGCTTAATTTTTTAGTAGAAAGATTTTAAAGTGATTGGAGTTTTCATATTTTTTCATCATTTCCATATTGATCATATTGCTAAAAGTTAGTAGCTATTAAGGTAGCTATTAATAGCAATTAGAAATAATAATTTTTAACTTTATTTGATTTTACATTATATATAAATAGTTTATTTTATACATATTTTAAAAATATGTCACTGCACCTACTGTTGAAAAATCAAATACTAATTTAAATTTAAAAATAAATTAAATTTTACATATATTTTGTTACAAATGCTTTGTTATTTTTCAATTTCGGGGTCTGGAGCATTTTTAGCATAACCAAGTTTTTGCAACACCTGTTTGATATCCAAATATACTGAAGGATCTTCTATTGTACCTGATATCTGAAAAATAATGTGGGTTGGTATTATATAATTAAGATTATAGGTACATAACAATAGTTTGTAGATAGTGACTACCTAATTATTATAAATTAATAACATCAATGTCGTATTATATCGATAGATCCTCCTCTTATAGTCTCCTAGTCTCTTATTTGTTACTTATTTATAATACTGTGATGTCAGTTGTAAGTGAACTACGCCTCATCTTAGGGAATTAAATGTTTGATAACGTATATCCCCCCTTCGACAAAATACAAAATACGCTAAACTGTTGAGATATAAGGATAGCTATCATAAATTATAATATATTATATTATTACAGTAGGTGCTGAGTACTGTCATACCTAATAATATAAAATTGTACTAAATTATTAAAATAAAATGTATAGTATAATACTATACTTAATCTATTAAGTTATTAACTTACAATCACTTTTTTCCCACTAGCTAAATTTGATAATGATTTCCTAGCCGTTTTTCCMGATCGAGTTCTTGGCAAACCTTGTACTGGGGCACACAAATGGAATGATGCGATCGGTCCAATTAAATCTCGAACGTTTTGTACGATTTCATTGTTTATATCTTCTTCTTTTTTGCTGCAATCTAATTTCATTGTGTTTAACTTATATATTTCGAAAATTTTTGAACAAAAATTATAAATTTACTTTTATTTTTAATATAAAGGCATAAGGGTATTTCTCCTTTCGTAGTCTCCGGGACGCCAAATACAGCTGCATCGCCAACGTCCGGATGAGATAGGATTACGTCTTCCAATGCTGATGTCGAAAGCCGATGTCCAGCTACATTAATAACATCATCGTCCCTGGCTGTGACATATATATAACCATTTTCATCGGCGTATCCAGCATCCATTGTATCATAATAACCCTAATATAATATTTTACAGTATCAGTCATACATTTTGGATTATATTTCGTATAATTTTACAATAAAGTTATTGAAGTATGTGTTAATAAATCTTTCGGGGGCATTATACAAGCATGACATGACTCCTGGCGGTAATGGAAGTTTGACCACAATTCGACCCAATTCCAATAACTGACACGGACTACCATCTTCTTTTAAAATTCTCACTGAAATTATAATTAGTAAATTATGGCCAATTATGAAATTTGTAGTATTGGGATTGGTACATTTTATCAAAATCAAAATTATTCTGTTTCACATAATTTCAGTAAATGTATACATAAATTGTATCACTTGACCGACTATATTCTTAAAAGTTACCATCATATCCAGGAAACGGCATTCCGGCAGAAAACATAGGAGGTTTTAGATTATGCCCAAATCCAAGACAAGTAGCCGTAATTGAATGACCAGTTTCAGTTTGCCACCAGTGATTCAAAACAGGTACCTAATTTAAAAAAAATCGAACTCAATAATTGTATTTAAGTACTTAAATATGTACATCGTATATATCTTCAGTTTTTATGCATAATATAGGTATGTATGATTTCATAGATAACATTTTTTTTTTTTTTTTAAACTTACATTCAGCACTTTTCCAGCCCAAGCCAAGGTTTCATGATCACAATGTTCTCCAGCCACAAATAGAGTTCTTAGACTGAAATGAAATATATTATAAGTAATAAATTGATATTATAAATATGATATAACTTACGATTTAGTGTTATATTTGCTACCAAACTCCAAATCTGGATCTTCTCTTCTGATGACCCTTAAAGCAGTTGGTGCCGTAAACAGTCCATTCACTTTATGGTCTTGAATTACCCTAAGAGAAAAAAAATGCTCAAATACGTATTTTATACTAAAATTATATGTTTTAAAAATGGAATTAATAATTTATTAGTACGGTATGGTAAATAATGTATGAATATATAATATGGTAATACAATAATATCCATATGTATAATATTAATAATAACAATAAGAGTTTTCTATCCCATGAGTTAGATATACTAATGAAATAGGTAATTAAAATTCTTACGACTATTTTCGGAATAACATCATTTCATACTATAAGTATGCGATTATTGATTAATAAATTCTATAAAGTAATAATGGAATTGTTTCAGACTTCTATAATTATTAGGTTACTAGAAAATACAATAAACATTTTGTTTATATATCTTGACTAATTTAAATTATCTATAAAATCAAACATGATTTACCTAAAATATTGTCCAGGATCGGGTGTCCTGTCCGGTTTACCTTCATACATAACTGATGTGATTCCAGCGCAAAGTGGACCATAACATATGTACGAATGTCCTACAACCCACCCCATGTCGGATGCAGTCCACCAAACATCATCTTCCGTCATACCATAAATGCAGCTCATTGTCCAGCATAATGTGGCAATATGTCCACCAGTTGGTCTAACAATTCCTTTAGGTTTATCTAAAAGTAAAAATAACTTAAAATATTAGATAATATGCATATGATGTGCTATCATATAAAAATGTGACCAAAATATTTATTTAAATAAACAATCAGGTTTGCGCCTACTTTAATATAGGTACATAGATAGTATATACATAGAAATACATTTCATTAAAATGTAAAAATGTAAAAATGTAATTATTAATGTTTTAATTAATTAATTATGTAAGAATGAGATCCTCTATAATAGTCTATAATATATTTCTGTTGGTAATAATTAATAATCTAAATCAGCTTTAAAAAATTACAACACATCATTTTAAAAGTCCAAATATTTTATAAGCTACAATATTTTTTAATTACTAAAGGTATATGTATATATACATTTTTTAATTAAAAGAATTTTTAACAACTGTACTCGTATATTTAAATGCTAATAGATATGCAATGCAAATAATGAAATACAAATTGTTTTAAAAACTAAAAAAATATTTATAGTTACTTAATATGTGTTTTTAGATTAATGTATTTTAATATTTCGATTTACGTTATCATACATTGAAAATATAATGTACGTACCCGTAGTGCCTGAAGTATACAATATATAAAGAGGATGATTTGCTTCCACCGGCACACATGRATGATGTTTAGCTGTCGACAATGCATCGGACCAAAGTATATCAATTCCTGGAGTTAATGGAGAAGGTTTCATGTTTGGTCTTTGGTATATAATACAGTGTTTAGGTTTTTCTGTTACCCGGTCAAGAGCAGAGTTTAGAATATCTTTGTACCTAGATTTGAAACCACAGCACGAACGATTATTGTTTTTCACTCATTTTCTTTAGCATTATAATTTTTTTTCTTCAAATACCTTACTATTTTGTTCGGTTCAATCCCACAATTAGCTGCTATTATAACCTTAGGAGTAGCATGGTTGATACGTGCACAAAGTTCACGAGCTGCAAATCCTGAGAAATATAATATTTCCATATAACAACTGGGTATGTATTAATTTGAAAACAATACACGTCGGTACAATTAAAATTAATTGTTCACCTAATAAGTTTCTATAAATATTTTGTGTCAAAATAAATAAGTTGATTTTATCAAATAGATAAATATAATTATCATAACAGTATAGTGACTATAAAGGCATACGGTTCACTTCAATTTTATTTAAAAGAACATTTTTCTATTATGTTTCATAAAACCTATTTAGTCTTTAATTAACATTTTAACTAACAGATACGACAAAGTACTGGCTAAGAAATTTTCTTTAAAATTATCTTTGAAACTTTAGTAATCAATTATCAAGTATTTCACTAATGAATATTTTCTGAATTCTTTGGGTCACGATTCTAAATGTCTACTCACTTCTCAGTGAATCGATAGTCAGTAGGTAGTATTATATTTTGTATTGGTTGTTATAATTAGAAGAAAATAATATTGGGTACATACATAAGTTTTCAATTATTTTTGTATATTCATAAGTCATAACTATAACATTTATCGGTATACGTAGTACATATAACTAGACTAAACTACATACTTTAATATTACTGTTTCAAACAATTTTAAATTATTAGTTTATCTTACCTCCAAAAACCACAGAATGAATGGCTCCAATACGAGCTACAGCCAACATTGAAATAATAGCTTCTGGTATAAGAGGCATATAAATCAAAATACGATCACCTTTTACTACACCCAGATTTACCAAAGCACCAGCTAACAATGATACCTGTAAATAAAATTAGAAACATTTTTATATTTATACAGCTGGTATTATCTTGTATTACAAACTTTTTCATATAGATCATCGTAAGTAATTTTTGTCACAGATTCGGTCACAGGGCTGTCGTGRATTAAGGCGACTTTTTTACCCTTGCCTGCCTTGATATGACGATCGACTGCATTGTAACATGCATTTATTTGACCTCCAACAAACCTAAAATTGATAGAAAGCATTAGTGTTTTATTTTAATTAATACATATATTAGTAAGCTGATCTAATCCACCTAATGCTTAATTTAAAACCAGTAAATATAAGTAACTATGTATATATTTATATAATATGTAACGGGGAATTGAGTAATCGGGTGGGTTATGGCTACTGTCAAGCACATACTTGTTGCTTCCTGAAGTTTGAAAGATTGATAATTGTATCTATACAAATCGTCTCCAGGCTATAAACGAGTTGCATCTCGACGCACCCTTAATTTTATCGAAAACGAAAATATAGTTCAGTACTATAWCTGTCTCTCAATGGCAAATAATTAACGTATAAGTGCGTATTTATTATAGTGATTTATATCGTTCTTAAACGATTTAAAGATTTTAGTATTTTTAATAGATACATTTAACAACCAATCTTCTAACAAATTATGTGTTTATATTGGTACCTACTATGAATAATATATAGTTATATATTCTATTGGTTGTGTAAATGCGACATGGGTATTGCCTAAAAAGCGATTATCATATAGGTAACTTATATAATGATTATGTAAGCCAGACATGTCAAACATACGGCTCTTGGCTCATTCTTTTACGACCTATGGATAGTAATACTAATGAACCATTAATTGAAAAAAATTATTAGTAAAATTTTCCTTACGTGCTACAACTATGCTAGTGAGAGCCGAGAGGTATATATCAATATGTTTCTTTTCTGTCTTATCTTTTGGTAAACTGTAATTTAATAAGTATTATATAGTACCTATTATTAATAAATTTAAAAATTTTTATAAAATGTTTTTTTTTCAATACATTTTTATGTGCGACCCGCATAGTAGTGATAGTGAACATATTCAATATATTTGGCCCAGTTATACTTTGAGTTCGACATGCCTGATGATTATAGCTATTGCTCATAAACTGAAATATAATAAACTAAAATGAGGGTTTCTAAATAAATAAATATTGTCATCATACTCGTCCATATCAAGGAAACTCATTTAAGTTTTATAACGACACACAGGCTTTCAGGTTTTTTAGATTTTCTCATAAGATTATTCGGCACCCACATTATAATTATGAAGTTAAAACTATCTAAAGTTTTTTGGTGTCGTATGCTATATACAGATATTATTGTCATCATACTCGTCCATATCAAGGAAACTCATTTAAGTTTTATAACGACACACAGGCTTTCAGGTTTTTTAGATTTTCTCATAAGATTATTCGGCASCCACATTATAATTTTATATGTATATTTTATATCAAAAGTAAGAGTTAAAGGAAACTGTTTAACTATGTGTAGACATGCAGTAGATACAATAATATCTGTATATAGCATACGACACCAAAAAACTTTAGATAGTTTTAACTTCATAATTATAAACATTACATATAATACGATATGTCACTAATTTTATCGTACCTTATAATCAGGCAAGATCAAAATAATTTAAACCTGATACCAAAACTCAAACGAATTTAAACTTATAAAATGTTAGCCCATTATAATCTGCCCTAAAAATTTATATTTTAAAATCAAACAAAAAAAAATAATAAAATATCCAAAAGTTTTCTTGGAATAGGCACATTCCATGTAGTATATTTATAATTTATATTAAATAAAATTTTATATTTTTTCAACTAAATAACAAGTATTATTTCAGACGTCATTTGAATTTTCAAATGCAACAATGTTGTATGGCTTTATTTACCTATTGAGTTTTTATGAACACCTGCAATATTCAATRAATATAGGTACTGTTATAAAACAATTTTTAATTTTTTAGCTTATTTTTGAAAACTATAAAATATGCGATTTYTAAAAACCTTTCTTCGGGGATCCGTGTTCTACAAAAGATTAAGAATCGCTTAACTTATAGCATGTTCGTATTTACCATCGTGACATAGAGGTGCACCTAATCCAAGCTCACGATCACGAATCACAGTAGTACTCCAGTTGAGAATCACTGGTTCAGATAATAATATTGTTATTATAAATCTAAAATACTATGTTGTTATTATTTGTATTTATATTTATTATTTGTGTATATATATATACACATATGTACAAAACTATAAAGCATTACTTAGTGGTACCTATCTATTATATTCAAACATTATAATAATACCTATACATCATTTACTAGGTACATCATTTCGTAAAATAGAAAAATAGAAATGTTGACTTATTTTTCTATGAAAAATTGACAAATATAATCAAGAATAAGATAAGAATCTTTCATCAATCTATAATGATATATATTACATAATAAGTTGAGCAAATAGTTAAACTATTTTAATATTTACCAATCAGTTAGAGGTTGAGCACTATTGTCTAAAACTTTATCCCAGGGCTTGTACCAATCGACTACTGCACCGACTTCAGCCCAGAAACCTTCAGGGTCTTCTAAAGATCGTCGGTATGCTTCTTCATAATTTTCAGTCTTATTCACTAAATAACGATTAATAAATTGTACACTATTGTATACGATAATGTTCAATACAATAATTTTAATAAATTAGTAAATAATTACCATTTTGATTTACACAGAGTGATTTATTTCGATTTGGTACCATATTGTTGTCCACGTAATTATTGTTTACTAAATTACCTAGTTGAAATATAATAATAATGGAGAATTAAATGCGTAACACTTATAAAAATATAATTACAAAATATACACGTACATACACTAAACTATTAAAATAACAGAACACAGAAACAAATTGTAATTTATTGCTTCAACAGAAATACACAGAATTTATAACAAAGAAAAACACTCCTGCCGGTAATTACAATTAATTTTCTTTATTACACCCACGACTGTTTTTGTTTAAAATAAATAATTAACATTAGAATTTAAAACAAACACATTTAAAATTAAAAAAAAAATTTTGACACTAAAATGATTTGAAATGCGGTGTCCAATGCTTTGGCAGTGCTGTTCGATTAAAGACCTTTGATTCGTTTAATTATTTATAATTATATGTAGATTAATTCAAATTTGTAACAGACGATCAATGTCATGTATCTAATTTCATTGATGAGTTAATATTTATATCAATTGTTTTATCATTATGAAGAAGAATTAAATAAGCAAAATGACTTAAAAATAATGTAAATAATATTTTTTATTTTTTCAATTTAATTAAATTAAATACACATTTACAAATACGTACACTATTTAGGATTAAAATATGTTCAATGGTTCTTATCCATTTATTAATAACGAATTTTCACAGAAAAATGTGTTTAGTTGTACAACTATTTTATCCTATATACCAATGCAATATATATGTTTCTAGTAAGTTTCACGGCAACATCATAATGGCAGTTATTCCCTATAAACTATAAAGTGAATGACAACCAAAATTACTATAGGTTTTTATATATTTTTATAGTATATATTTAAAAAATTTATTTTTTTGATTTGTTTTTTTAATTAAGTCATAAAATCATGTTTGGAAGTTTTACCAAATGAACTCGATAAAAATTATACGTGTAATACGAATGTCCCCATTTGTAATTATAATTCAAACAATCAAACTCACATCCTGGTATTGTTTTTGCCCTATGACATACCTACCACTGTACATGATGTGTATAATGTAATATAGTTTAAAATAAAAACATTTTTATAAAAGAAATTCCTATAATCATTGTTATTATTTGTAACTGTTTACTTTGAATAATAATAATAATATTATATGTTAAGTTTCACAACGATAAAGTGAATAATTGTTTCATGTCCATGACTTATGCAAGATCTTTTCGCTCCATTTTTTTGTTTCTAGGTGGTATAGTATAGGTATAGTAAGTAAAATCATGTTCAAATATGTATTATTTTAAGTGGCTTTTTAAATTACTGTTTGACAAAATTTTACATGAAAATAACGATTTTTTAATATCATAACATGTGCTATAGGTACTAAATATAACTATATAAACAATTATCTTTTTCATATAAACGTAATACGTATAATATTATAATTAATTTTATAGCTAACTTGAAATTGTTTTATCRATTYGCTGTGACAAACCTGATACTCCCAACTTCTGAATAGGTTCTTTTAATGTTCTGTTAAGCATTAAATATTTAAATCAATTATAATTTATAAAGTTCAATAAATTATAGAGGCACATCATAGTTCCATAATTTAAATATATCATGTTTCTTGTTTCTATTAGGTGTAGAATTCTTAGAATAGATATTAGTGTTGATATTCGAGTACATATTTTGTGCACCAATGACGTCGAGGTTTATTCCTAGTCATGTTGCAAAGTTATAAATTTAATATAGACATCCCACCATCAAATTTTTACACACCTGCGAGGACTTGCAGAGGATTACACTCTCCAATTAAAATCTGTAAATGTTACATAATTAMTAACCTTAATTATTACACATATTACGTAATAATTTCAAATAACTACAAAATTAATCAGTAAATGCAATGCGCTGCGCTCGGAATCAAAATAATACATCCTATGTTTTATGAATGGAGTACGTATACATCTACTTGAAATTATAAATGAGTGTAGTGTAAAGTTTTATTTATTGGGTCCTGTTTTCTATAAAGTGTGAGACCTAGGACTAGACCTAACACTTTACTGAACATTAGGTGTCTAGAAAGTAACCGTCATGGATGTATTAAATTTGAATTGAATGAGATAAAATAATWGTACCAATACAAAAAACGATTTAGTAAAGCGAAGACGGTCTGCCATTTTATAATATTGCTAAGTTTATATGATGATATGATATTATAGTGATGAAAGTAATTTATTTTACTATTAAGCATTAGTACAGTAATTAAAATTCAATTTTAACATAAAATTTATATTTAAAAATGATGTCATTTGCGTGAATAAAATATAATAATGTACTATAACAGTT